GAGTGTTTTTCTTTCCTGTTTTAAAATAAAATGATTGATCATAGTGTTCATAAAGGATGAAGAGCTGTGTGTTCTGGAAACTATTTTCCAAGAGGGTAGAGAGTAGTCGTCTCTGTTACTTATTTTGCCATGCTTTTTTAAAGTGCTAAATGTTAAGATACTTTTAAAATTTGCATTCTTTGTTTAAAAGGGACAATGTAAAAGAAACAAATTTATTTATATCTTTTTTTAATTTTAGTGCCTTTTAAATTTTAAGAAATAAACTCAGTTTAAGGTTTCTTTTTGTGGTAATCACCCCTTTTGGGCCCCAGTCCTGCAAAGACTGAGACGTGTCCTTACTTTACACATGAGTTGTATTGTCAGTTTCCCTGGAACTGCTACTGCTTATATGCAAAAATTAAGCAAGGAAGTTAAGTTAAATGTGTGTAGAATCAAAGTCTGAGAGAGAGGTTACTAAAGGTACTAAAAGGATTCATTTCTCAGATTTTAAAATCTATTTGTAGTGTTACTGAATTTTCTGTATCTTAAATGTAATGGAAAATGGAAACATTCAGAGAATTGGTGCAGATTTTGAAATGGAGAAGAGACTGTTATTTTCAAAATAGTTTTTCTGGAATTAAATGACATTTCTTCCCCTAATTGATTGTATTGATAATGCATGCTCAGATCCATTACATTGCAGCCAGTCTGCCCATATACTTACATGCTAAACAGTTGATGCTTATAATGAAGATTTATATCAGCTTACTTCTGAAAGCAGAAGGGTGGATGGAAGCTTAAATACCAAGCCTTTCAGGAATTTCTAAGAACGAATATACTGATAACAACTAGAGATAGTAGAAGTATTATTAATGGAGAGGTGGTGGTTGTGTGTAGGATACAAATCCTAATGTATCTGATTAAGAAAAGTCTGAGTCTGCTATCATTCAGGCACATGCAACTTGGGAGACTTTTTTAAATATTCACCAAAATCTGTCAACAATCTGTGATCTGTTGGTGACTTTTTATTATTTAGCTATTCAGTCATTTGACAGTATCTACACTGAACAAATGGGGCTGATTATTTAACACTGGTTACATGAACTCTGTCAGGTCAAACCTGTGCCAAAGGTTAGGGCTTTATTTTTTAAATTAACCTTTATAAAACATGAAATCAGTAGAAATGTTTCTGCAGAATTAAAATAAATTAATGGAAGCTACTCTTCTAAGTGTACCAACTTCTGCAATTTACAGCTCAAGCTTAGCAGTATTTTTCTGTTTCATGAAATTCAGAAAGTGAGATGATCTGGAAATTGAAATTATGTAGCATACGTTAATCATCTACACTGACAAAAACAAAAAGTAAGTATACTTCTTACGTGGAGAAGTGATGACTTGTATTTTATACAATATTGTCATTTTAATAGACTAAGGCAAGTAAAGTATTGCAAGTAAACCTGCCTGGTGCAGCTTTGCTCTTGCTAAAAGCCCACTAAAGTTACTGAGGCTCCAACGTATTTCATACAGTTTTGACTGGAGGATCAAAACCTGAGATGTAATCCTTGGATAGGAAAGGAGACCTCATGTATGTGGCACCATGCTTCTGAGTTATGCACACAGATAACTTTGCTTATGTATAACCCCTTGAAAACCAATGGTTTTACTTCTATGCATAATATTTTGATGTCTATACAAAAAGTTGAGATCCACTGATATAAGAGTTTGGAGAATGGTGTTTGCACTTTATAAATGGATAGTACTCATTGAAGGAAAAAATATTTATGAACAATGATCTAATTCATTTCCATTTCTTTTCAAAGAGAAAATGCCTTTTTGTTGTACAGGAGAAGCTTAGAAAATATGTTAAAATTGTATTTATGAATCTGTTTCTTGGTGGGGTGTTTGGGTCTTTTCACATAGACAGGAAGGATGCAGAAGGATGGGAAACAGTTCAGCGTGGAAGGCCTGTTCGATCCCGGTCTACAGCTGTGACAACAAAAACTCCTTTAGCTATAGAATCGTTAAGATCCAAGGATGATAGTGACAAAGAGAATACATGCTGCACCCCATCAGAGAGCAAACCAAAGAGTTTGTTCACAGGAGATATTGCATCCAAAACAGTCGAGTCTCTACAGAAAGATTCTTCACATCAGTGTGAGCATCCTCTTACTGAAAGGTCTCAAGTGAGTATAATTTAGCACCATGTCTTTAATTTTGTTATTGCAGCTTGCTAGTGTTTGTTTAGAAAAATGAATCTCCGTAATTATGTCCAATGGTATAGTCTCCAAACTGACTAAACAAGTAAAAAACATATTCTAACAACTCTTTTGTTTTAATATACAACAACTTCATTGCAGGTGGTATTAATGTGGTGATGCAAATGCAGTTAAAATCTCAGTTTCAGATAGAGATGGGCCATTGATTTTTACAATCTATACTAATACATGAGGAGGCTGGGGAAAAAACTGGTTATGGTGGAATATGGTTGTGGTTCTATAGATAGATAGATAGATAGATAGATATATATATATATATATATAGAGAGAGAGAGAGAGAGAGAGAGAGAGAGGTATAGATATTGACACATAGGTATAGATATATCTATATATAAATATATATCTATATATCTCGACAAACTTCAGCTTTTATTCATTTATTTATATAATCTTGATTGTATAGTTAGGTCTTCAGCTTTGTATATAAATTGTAGGGGTGTGCAAAACGGGCCCTATTCGATTCAGATTTGGATTCTGCTGGAATCAGGGACAGTGATTCGAGCCGTTGATTCGGATCACTGTCCCCGATTCGATATGGTCTAATCTGAATCTGAAGATTCGATGCTGATTCAGAGAATCAGCAATTTGGCCATAGACACAGCTTTAAAAGTTTTTTCTATGTACCTCAAGGTACCAGGCGCGGCTTGTGAATGCTGCAGTGCTGGGGTGGATGGAGCATCCCACAGGAGTGCAGGGGGGCCCCCTGCATGCTCGGCAGTGAACCCGGAAGTGGAACAGAAGTAATTCCGGTCCAATTCCAGGTCTGCCGGGGAGCCCGCACCTCCCCCCTCCAGCTTGGCGATCCGCTGTGGGGGGACCCCAGGTACCCCCCCAGACCCAGGAGGTACCAGTTGCTGAGCTGGGTTGGGGGGGCGCAGCAGAGGCCCCCTGCACGCTCCCCAGTGGACCCGGAAGTGGACCAGAAGTGCTTCTGGTCCACTTCCGGGTCTGCTGCCAAGCGTGCTGGGGACCCCCTATGCTCCTGTGGGATGCTCCATCCGTCCCTGCACTGCAGCATTCACGAGCTGCCTGGTACCTTGTGGTATGTAGAAAAAACATTTAAAGCTGTGTCTGTGTCCGAATTGATGAATCTTTCCGAATCTATTTGAAGGATTCCAAATTGATTTGGCGAGATGAAAGGATCTCCTGATTCAATTCGGATTTGGAGATTAGGCCACTGAATTGGGCCAAATCTCTGCCAAATCGAATCAGCAGCCAAAGCTTCGCACAGCCCTAATAAATTGCTCTATTACGTTGTATTTTATTGCACATACCATATTTTCTCACATACAACAGAATGCAATTCAACAAGGAGAAATGCAAAGTGCTGCACCTAGGGAGGAAAAATGTCCAGCACACCTACTGCCTAGGAAATGACCTGCTTGGTGGAACGGAAGCGGAAAGGGATCTTGGAGTCCTAGTGGACTCGAAGATGAACATGAGTCGTCAGTGTGACGAAGTCATCAGAAAAGCTAATGACACTTTATCATGCATCAGCAGATGCATGATGAACAGATCCAAGGAGGTGATACTTCCCCTCTATCGGGTGCTGGTCAGACACAGTTGGAGTACTGCGTTCAATTTTGGGCGCCGCACTTCAAGAGGGATGTGGATAACCTGGAGAGGGTCCAGAGAAGGGCCACTCGTATGGTTAGGGGCTTGCAGGCCAAGCCCTATGAGGAGAGACTGGGGCACCTGGACCGCTTTAGCCTCCACAAGAGAAGGTTGAGAGGCGACCTTGTGCCTGCGTATAAGTTCATCACGGGGGCACAGAAGGGAATTGGTGAGGCTTTACTCATCAAGGCGCCCCTGGGGGTTACAAAAATAATGGCCACAAGCTAGCAGAAAGCAGATTTAGACTAGACATTAGGAAGAACTTCTTCACAGTTCGAGTACTCTTTCCTGCCTATGCAGGGGGTCGGACTCAATGATCTATTGAGGTCCCTTCTGACCCTAGAATCTATGAATCTAAAAAACATGCTCCCAAATAAAACCACATACCTTGTTTTTGGAAGGCAGAGTGTAAACAAAGAAAAAAGACTTTTCAAATGTTGTAGCTGACTACAACTCAGGCTTTGTATAGATATTCGGTTTCTCCTGGGAAAGTTGCTGCCCTTCCCTACCCCACCAGGGGTAACCTGCTCCATGCCAGAGCGTACGTGGCATGCGCATTCCCACAAGGTGTGCCACTGCTACTTCTCCCCAGGGAAATGCACATTTCCTACTTGCCTGGATGCAGCCTCTGAATTTATAAACATTCTGACCTGTTACAAGCTTTCTGAGTGTTTTGCTACAATAGAATTGCTCTATTATTTTGCTGTAGTCAAAAATGAGTGAAAATTAAAAGGTGGCATTTTCTGAGGGCACCCTTGAGTCTGAAACAGTTGAGAACCACTGATCAAGGTACTGTCAGCAGCCTACTTGCTCCTTCAGGCACAAGCTACAATGCTCAGCCACTAGCTTTGGCTTTGAGAGTGTTTACACAGGATTCTGCCTCTTCAGCTTGTTAAGCCAGATAGGTTGTGTCATCCATCTTGGCAGCTGCATGGCATGCACACTTTGTCTAGGTTTGCTTCTTTTCCAGTACAGAAAACAGCCTCACTGCTTAAGACACACATCCCAGTTCTGGGGGAAAGGTGTGTGTTGTATGTGAGAAAATGCAGTATATATAATGTTGCTAGCTGATCGTGCCATCAAGTTACCTATTTCCATAGACTTTAGCTAAATGTGACCATTTACCACCATAATCCTGTTACGCACGCACGCACGCGCGCATACAATTTTGGGGACCTGATTGTCCCATCAAGGCAGAGGCCCATTTTGGGGAAGGAGGTGTTCACAGGCACAGTATCTCCTGGTGTTTCCTGGTGCACAGCACATATCTTGTGCCTCCCTAGAAAAGAGTGCAACCTCATCTCCCTTGCTGCATACCTGACATATCTGAGGATGTTGAAGTCCCCTTCTTCTACTCCTCTGGTGGAGTTTAGCATCTCATGTGGAGTGCTAGGAGTTTGCAGTTGTTGGCCTCTAAAAAAAATTGTTATCTGCAATTTTATCTGGTTCTTGTGCAGTATGGTAAGGGAAATGGCAAAGGACCAGAGCAAAAGTCCTTACCTTCCTTTCCTTATTGCATGTGAACGGGGGCCAAGTACAATCTGACCATAAATCTATCCTTTTTAGTAACAATGAACTACTGTATGAGTGCTGTAAAAACCTAGATTCAGAGAAAGTATATTTCAGTCGAAAAGAACGAGTTTTGGCTGGAAGTGAATGTAATTAACTCCCCCCCCCCCCAAAAAAAAAAAAAACAAACAAACAAAAAACCCCAACGTTTTTTACAATGGAAATGCTGGTGAAATTATTTACAAGTCACTAAAAATTGGTTAAAGTGTTGTTATAGTAGGAAAACATAGTTTTGAAGCTGTGTATAGCAGTTGTTTTCATTATTGTGTTGATATCTTCTTGGGGTGAGAGTTTGTGTGTTTCAACATTTTTTTCCAAGAATTACCATTGATTTTGCATTGTAGGTTTATTGATTTTCTTGTAAACTGTGTTGAGTACATTGTAAACATCAGTAAAGCTAATATAAACATTGCAAATAAGTATATTAGCAATAGTGACTGTAAGATAAATAATGTTGATGATGATATAAACCAAATCATGCAAATTATGTTTACATCAAGAGACAACAACCCCATTGACTGATTTAACAATATAGTGCTACATTTTGTTCTCATTCACATCATGCAGTCCCATTGTTAAAGAAATATGTCTGCCATTACCTCTGCCATTCTAGATCTTCTTGAAAAGGAAGCAGTGTGGTTCTTCTGAATAAATTAGAACTGATAGGATCCTGGAGAGAGACATATTGTGCACTATGACATTTAGCTGTGCTCTCAGGGGTATTCTTTTTGTGATTTCTTTTTGTGGCTTGAGGAAAGGGTAGGGCTTGGCTATCTGCCACTATATGGATTACTCCCTTCCTTTTGCAAGCAGGTTAAGGGTTCACAGAGCACACTCCAGCTTTTAGTTGTATATAAGCATCAAAACAAAATAGGTTTTATATCCTTCTAAATTCTGTTTTGAGTCGCACTGACGTAACTTAATTTTGATATCTGCCTTGATTTTGATATCACAGGTCCCTGCATTCTCTCATTGCTCCTCTTCAAATCAAAGAGTGTAAAGAAGGGTGTATTTTCAGATGTGTTATCCTGGTTGAATCCTTTTGTCTTTTATCAAAATTGCCGCTGCTGCATATTTGTTTCTGTTTTCTCAGAGACGGCTAGAGCAAATGTCATAGTTTTGAGCTATCGCCATGCTGGTCTCTATACTTCATTGCAAATAGTCTACATTTACATTTAAAAAAAAAAGTTTCTTCCAAAGATTTGTCCTGGAAACCCCCGTCCCAACCATTTCCAGTTCTTAATCACTGTTCCAAAGCATGGAGACAAAGCTTTTCACTGAAATAATTGCAAGAATATTTTAATATGGGAAAACATTTTCCCCTAAACTTTACTTGGAAGTGGCTGGGCTGTTTTAACTGAAACATTAAAAAAAATCAGTTGTGGGCAGGCATCCAGTACAGAACATTTCAGACTGAAAGGTTTAACTGGCAAAACTTTATATTTGAGGAATAACCAGCAGGATACTTACAGGCCGGGGAACTCCCTTCTTGTCAGTGCAGAGGCAGAAAAGGATCTTGGAGTCATTATTGATGCCAAAATGAACATGGGCCAACAGCGTGGGGACGCGGTCAGGAAGGCCAACCGCACCTTGTCATGCATCCACAGATGCATCTCAGGCAGGTCCAAGGAGGTGATCCTCCCCGTCTATGCGACACTGGTCAGGCTGCAGTTGGAGTGCTGCATCCCGTTCTGGGTGCCACACTTCAGGAGGGATGTGGAAACATGGAGAGGGTCCAGAGGAGGGCCACCCACATGATCAGGGGGCAGCAGATCAGGCCCTACGAGGAGAGGCTAAGGGACCTGAACCTGTTCAGCCTCCACAAGAGAAGGCTGAGGGGGGATCTAGTGGCCTGTTACAAACTAGTCAGAGGGGACCAGCTGACATTGGGGGTGTCCCTGTTCCCCCAAGCACTACCAGGAGTGACTAGAAATAACGGTCACAAACTGGCAGAGGGTAGATTCAGGCTAGACATCAGGAGGTGCTACTTCACTGTCAGGGTGGCTAGGATCTGGAACCAGCTTCCAAGAGAAGTGGTGCTGGCTCCTACCCTGGGGGTCTTTAAGAGGAGGTTAGACAAACACCTTGCTGAGGTCGTTTGACCCCAGTACTTTTTCCTGCCATGGCAGGGGGTCAGACTTGATGATCTGCTCAGGTCTTTTCCAACCCTACCAACTATGAAACTATATACAGCCAAAAATGGAAAATGTCTGGTAATTGTAACTATAGATGGCAATATTTGTACAATCTATGAACAGAAGGTAGAATACAGTCATTTTAGCTTCCTTTTTCCTGTGCAATATATTTGAAAATCAACATATTACTTCTCTTTTTCCTCTTGTAAATGTGTCTTTTTGTTAGTTTGCTGTACGTGTACCAGAGGATATTAGGAATACCAATGCATTTTTGCAAGATAGTTCTTTACAAACACCTCCTGAAACACCTGCAGTTCTCACAGATGCTGAACATACTTCAGAAAATCTACAGATTGATGAATCTTCCCCTCTGAATCCTGGCAGTACAGAGAAGATTCAAACAGAGAAAGCTAAGATTGAAAGTGAAATGGACCCTTCAGACATTTCAAATGTGAGTGCTGCCAGATTGGTAAGAAACCTTGCAAGAATTCTGAATAAAAAACAATAGATGTGTTGTGGTTTTCCCATTCTGCTTTGCACAATACTGACCATTAACTTGCTAGAGGAGTTGTGGAAAAGTCCTTAAAGTACACCTAATGTCACATGGAAAGTGTTGTTTTTACATGCTTCTAAGCACCTTCAACTTTAGAATTTATTTCAGTAAAGTGTCTGAATTCATCTGAATGTGTAGTAATACACTGATTTGGATTAGAAGGAGCTCATTTCCAATCAGAATGATTTTTGCTTCCATTATTCCTCATTTTAAGCAAGATTTAAATGTATTTATTACCCTAATTCTGCTAGTCAAAATTGAAAACTTATTTGGAAAAATGTGGAAATGGTCAGATTTATGTTTCACTAAGACCAACTCAGCCATTCTCTTCTGCCTTCATATACAACTGGCAAGCCTGACTGGCCCTTTGATCAGGGCCACTTCTAACCTGTACTGTATAAAATATTTCCTTGTAGTTTTCTCTGTCATATTGTTTATGAGTATTTATTTTGAAATAATAACTTCCTGAAACATGATTTATTTCTGATTCTTTTATCAATTTTTAAACAGGTGGGGTAGCTTTCTGAAGAATACTTAACTGTACAATGTAAATGTCTTTGCTACATGAACAGAGTTTTTCCCTTTCTATAAAAAGCAAGTTAGAAACTGATTTAAAATCTGACATTTATCCTTAGTGCCCTGTGTTGCACAAAGGGTATCAATTTGTAGCTGGGCAGCACTTCCAAGATGTGGCTGCCAATTTTTAATTAGTTTATTTTCTGATGTTCATTAAAGAGTCTGTGACTTGGTTTTAGTGTTTTCAGAGAAATGTGCAAGAAAATTTCCTAAAAAGAGGTATCTTTCATAATTTGGTCACCCTTTTCATGGCTTTAACAGAGAAAAGGAGGAATGAATGCACAGTCTTTTCACCCCTTAATTTTGCATATATTAGAAGATTCTGTTGAGTAGAGATGTGGCTTTGTGTCATCTGAGCATGTCTTTGTGGTTAGAAGAGTGTCATGTTCTTTATCAGATGACTAGTCATGGTTAAACATTGATCCTTTTCTGGAGTGTCCTTATTCCACTAAATGTAAGTATTATACAGCATGAACTCAAATTTTGTACTGTACCTGCGCAATACTCACTGCTGCATTTTGGCTCAAAAAAAACATACCAAATCTGTAGATATCCAAGTAATATATTTCATTTTATTGAAAAGTCTTATAAAAAAAAAAAAAGAACCTCTCCTTGTTCAAGAGATTTGTAGACTTACTCTACCAGAAGTACTACAGCTTCTAAAGCACCTGCTTCACTGGTGTTTCTTCATTTCGCATCTGCAAGGATGTCACTTAAAAACACTGTTTTTTAGATTTAGAAGCAAGATTAAATACCTAATTTACAAAAACACTCCTGCAGTGTATTTTCACTGATAACCTCTTCCATAATGCTAACTAATCTGCAGTAGAGAAATGTGTGAAAAATATACCATCTTGGCTGCTTACGGACATGGGGCACCCCTCCCTACCCCAAATAGCGCTTTACTTTTAGCTCAGCACGCCCCCACAACAAGTGCAGCGCATATCCAGAAGAGGAATCTTATCACTTTGACCCAGTTTGCTCAGCATCTGCATAGTTCACGTGTGGCAGTGGGGCTTTTTGGCACCTTTATTTAATAGCTGAGTGAACCAGCTGTTAGACAAAAGCACCAAAAAGCCCTGCTGAAACGCGTGAGCTATACAGACGCTGGAGAACCAAGTCAAATTGACGCAATTCCTCTTCTGGTAAAGTGCTGGTTTTTTTGTTTTGTTTCTTTCCCACCTCTGTCAGCATCCATTGTTAGCACTTTTTCAGCTTCACTGGTATCAGGAATTCTGGGGCACCTAGAGTGAATGGGTCTCTGCCTACTGAAGAGATACACAAAGCTCTTGGGTCAGAGGTGATATCTTTTATTAGACCAGCTGAATAGCAGCAAAAAATTCCTTTTTTGCAGGCTTTTGGGCACATACACCCTCCTTCAGGCTGAGGAGAATTCAAAGATTGTAAAAGTCCTAGGTAGAAAATAAACTCCATTTTGCACAGGGGAGGTAGAGGCTGGAAGTTCATTCCCCTGGGTATCTGAGTGTCCTTGTGGGAGAGTGTTGCTCTGTGATGTGCAGATTAGGCTGTTGTCTTCCCTAGAGGTGTCTGATGTCAGAGGCAGCCAGGGACTTGACAAAAAAAACCTTCTTTCTTGTTTAGCAATGAAAGCACTTTTACCACTGTTGATTTGACATGCCTTGAGCACAAAACTTTGTTGTATCTATTTTAGCACTTCTAGCTTTGCTAACAGTAGCAGAGCAGAACTAACATTAGTAATGGAGGAGATTTAAAGGGAAAGTGTCATTAAGAACCAAAAATATGTCTAAACAGCTAAGTATTGGTGTTTTGAGGTTCAGATTCTTGCCCATGTTGCATTGTCATCCAGATTTATTAATTTCCCAGAGAAGCACAGCCTGAAAGGTTAAGCTCTGCTAAGATTTGTTACTGATAACTAACATTCTCTAACAAATATATCATTGCCCTCATAGATCCTCCTTTCTGTTTTGAATAATTCTGTATTCTCATTCAGGGACTGAAGAAAGGGTATATGTGGTCCCATTTGTGGATATACAGAAAGGTTCTGAGTGCCTTTAATGTACTTTTACAATCTTTTCTCATATCCCTGAAGAAGGGTGCCTGTGCCTGAAAGCTTGCAAATAAAGAAAAAAATTTGCACAAACATCTAGTTGGTCTAATAAAAGAGATCACCTCTATGATGAGTTCTGATTTTTTTTGTAATGTTTCTGGACCTGCTTTGCCTAACCTTTACTCTAGAGCAGTGATTTTCAACAATGGTTCCATGGCACCCTGAAGTGTTTTGAGATTCTTTCAAGGGTGCTGCACTTTTAGGTATGTAAGCATGATTCATAGGATAAACCCAGAGATTTCATATAGTGTTAAAAACATTCTGACCCGTTGTGGGCATATTGAGTTCTTTGCAACAGAAGAATTACTATTTTTCGATAGTCAAAAAGTGAGTGAAAGCTAAGAGCTGGCATTTTCTGACAGATGTCATGAGTATAAAAAGGTTGAGAACCACTGCTCTAGGAAAAGGATTTTTTGGAGAGCAGTATTCAGAAAAAAATGGTATGTAATTTTTTTACTTCATTGCTTTTCGTGACCAATGCTGTACTTATTTGTAGTCTTGGTATGATGTGAATGTAGATTTAAAATGTAATATCCTTACATAGTCTGAAAATGTCTTAGCCTTTTAATTAATCAGTTCGAAAATGCCAGTGTTTTCGTATCAATTAATTAATTGCATCCTCTAAATGTAGCCCAGCGAAACAGAGAATGACTATGGGTTAAACAAAAGCGTAACACAAGCTGTATTTAGTATTTGGAAACTACTTTATTTATTTCCAGTTCAGTCCTGATTGTGGTTTCTTTCACAGTCTATGGCAGAAGTCCTTGCTAAAAAAGAAGAGTTAGCAGACCGCCTAGAAAAGGCCAATGAAGAAGCCATAGCTAGTGCTATTGCAGAAGAAGAGCAGCTCACTAGAGAGATTGAAGCAGAAGAAAACAATGACATTAACATTGAGACGGACAATGATAGTGATTTTTCTGTGAGTTTTTAATCTGTTTTAAAAATAAGTTGTGAATGATTATACCTCACCAGAACGTAAATGTAATATACCATATATATTCAAATTCAAGATGAGGTATACCGTATTTACTCTGTCTCCCCCCACCATCCAACATTGGAGGGGAAAAAAGTCCCTTACATTGGATTCAGGTACAAGGCCAGGGAGCAAGCGGCTGCTGTAGCTCCAGCTACAGCCCTGAGCCAGTCTCCAGGTTGGAGCCGCAGTCTCTGCCCCCACCCCATACTGCCTACCCCCCTCTGTCTGTCCCTCCCCACCACTACCCACACTGAGTGCTACCTTCTTTACTCCATGACCCACTGAAACCTGTGTCCACTCATGTATAAAGGTCCAGGTCCACAAAAGTATTTAATTCCTAATTTCTAATCATGGTGGAAATAGGAGTTAGGTGTTTAAAACGTCTTTGTTGTATCCTGCTTTGAACAGGGGGCTGGACTAGATGACCGTGTTAGGTCCCTTCCATCTCTACTTTTCTATGATCCTACAACTCAGTGGGCACGTCTACACGTGACAGTACTTTGCTGTAAAACCATGATGCTGCAGCTATGTTGTCGTAGTGACACGCTTCCTCAGTATAGTGTGTTGCTACAGTGACGTAGCAGCTAAAAATAACTGCGCTGCGCACACAGTGCAATATGGGCTGTTACTGAGCCATCATTTAGTATGTCCTTTTGGAAGGCAAGTGTAGACACACCCAGTATGAATAAGAGTAGCAGAACTGTGCTCTTGGTATTTGAGAGAATTCAGTTACTAAAAGCCCACATATCATTTTGAAAATGTAAGGGTTAATAATTCAAGGCCCTATTTCACAAACATGTGAGTTAAGTTTCCTTAGCATTTAGTTCAGCGAGATTATTAAAATGAGTAGTCTACCGTAGCTATAATTTCTAGTTCAGGCATTTTTCTAAACATAAATATTATACAAATAAAAAGAAAAAAAACCCTCTGTTGGTTCACCTTCTTTTTGCATTTCCAACCCAGTTGTCTTCAATCTTCAGTCAAAATTTGCACAGAATTATAGAAACCCTTCTGCTAATGTAAGATCATGTTAGACATTTACCTTTTCATTTCATGGTAATGTCTTGAAATTTCAGGCTAGCATGGGCAGCGGAAGTATATCTTTCTGTGGCATGTCTATGGACTGGAATGATGTCCTAGCAGATTATGAAGGTAAACATTTATGTATTCAAATATTAAGCTTGATATACAAAATAAGTTTGTAAGAGACTTTTTTCCATCTTTAGGTATGGATTTAGAACAAAAATGACCCTAGTTCCTTTGAAATATCAGGTCATGTCCAATAAACTTCATTCTGAAGAGGTGATATTTCCTCTCTTGCAGCTCGTGAGTCATGGCGTCAGAATAATTCCTGGGGAGATATAGTAGAAGAAGAACCTGCACGTCCTCCAGGCCATGGAATACACATGCATGAGAAACTTTCTTCACCATCTCGCAAAAGGTCTTAACATTTTTATCCAATTTGAATAGCAAAACAGAAACAGACTCTCAATTGCATAAAATTATTATAACAGCATTTACTTTTTATAACATTTTCTGAGATGTATAAATGAAAAAGTGTTTTGTGTAAGGGCAAGTGGCTGTTGTTATGAAGTTTATTACTTTTAAACTGCATTGCACAAGAGTTAAAACCCTAAAAAGTTTTGATATGGAAAAGGAGCAGTATGGAGGCTAATATTAAAATACATTTATTGTGTATCAAATAATTGACAAAGTCACAGCATCCAGCAGTGCAATTGTTTTAGTTCGTTGATGATACTCAGTTGCCGTTGTTTCATTGGCTGGTTTTACTCTATTTGTACTAAAAGAACAATAGCAGAATCTAAAAAGAAACTTGAAGAGAAACAGATGAAAGCTCAACAGCTGAGAGAAAAGTTGCGTGAAGAGAAAACACTAAAGCTTCAAAAACTGATGGAGCGGGTAAGATTTCCTCATTTAAAAGATGCAGCCTACTTTTATTCAGATTACCGTATGTTTTTGCCTAGCCCAAAACAATGATATGCTGTTAAATGTCAGAACTAACTCTAAAGTGAACCTTGCTTTCTGGGTATGAATATATACTCTTAGGACATCACACGAATGATCTGCATTTCTACTAGGCTTGTAGATTGCTGCTGTTTATATTGCAGAAATGCCAAAAGACCTTATTCTAGATTGGGCCCCTATTTTGCTATGTGCTTTAAAGGAAGTCATGGGCCTTTCTGCAAAGAACTTGTAGTTTAAAAACAGAAGAAATGAGAAAAAATGGGGAACAGTATACAGTTTATCAAAATGATTACAGTCATATGTATTTTAGCTTTGTTTTCTTCTTTTTATTCATTTATTTGTGCTGATTCATTATTTATTTAGCTAGTTCATTTTCTGGGGCCAAATTAGGGAATGAGGAAACAGGTGAAGAAGGGAAAG